GGCACTCCATCACTGGAGATTTTAAAGAAGAGACAGGACAGCCACTTTTCTGAAATGGTATAGGTTCTCCTGCTTGAGAAGGGGGCTGGCCTAGAAGACCTCCACGGTCCCTTCCAGCTCTATTCTATTCTAAGCAGGTAATGGGGAATGCTACAGATGAACCCATTCTCTCATCTTGTCATGATAAGCTATTATTAGAACTGGTTGCTCATTAATTTAGATAACACCCTTGAACAGGAGCTTCCCACCAAGTTAGGTTGCTTTTTTTTTAAGGTAATGAACTAGAGGAAACTTTGTATTTGTGTGTGTGTGTGTGTGTGTGTGTGTGTGTGTGTGTGTTTGCTTTACTACAGAGAATAGGAAGTAGCCAAATCGAAAGAGTAGATCGGTAAATAAGGCTTTCACATTCTTCTATTTATGTTCTATCTTAGCTAAAACAAAGAAGCAGAAAGGAATAATATTAAAAGAGGTTGAGAAGGAAATAATATTACGTATAATAATACACTTTCTACAAGGGAGGCATTGCATTTTCGTTACTTAGAAACAGGATCAGGTAGCCTTGGAAGAGATTTTAATTCAAAGCCTCTGTATTTTATCTTTGTGGAGGGGTTTTCTACTTTCCTCCTACTTGCTTCTGCCAGGAGCATTCCATATCTCCACCTTTGCTTGTCAGTTCATGTAAAAATTAAAGTATCTACTGTAGTGATAATATTCTTAATTGCTAAGCCATCTTTCTCAAATAGGTGCCATGATTTCTCCCTCATAATATATATGCTCAGAGTAGTAACTTTTGTCCTATAATGTCCTTTAATTCAAAAACTGCATGTTTCCATACACTGCAACATTCTCAAAGATGCTGATAACTCTTCCTATTGAAAGTGGTATGTAGGATTAAACTGTTAGAATAACTATCAACCTTATTGGCATTTACACTTCTCAAAGGCTAGGTAACTTGCATTATAAAGTGTGCATTTTCTGGACACAGGGATGCCCAAGTTCCTCTGAACTCCCTATAACTTATTGGTTGTAAGACAGTTCATTGTCAGTGGTCATATGTGCATGTGCGTTTGTGTGTGTGTCTATGTATATTCATCTTCAATCTCTGAAATCTTATATAAGAATTCTGTGAATCAGTCTCTAGCATTCTTTAGTTTTAAAAGCAAGAGACCAGTGACTCCCTATAACTTGCTAGCTTTAATACAATAATTCTTGGATCCTGATTATTCATAAATTCTGAGTTTTTTCACCACATCTTGTTACCTTGTAATGGCCTAAAGCAGTGGTTCTCAACCTTTCTAATGCCACGACCCCATAATACAGTTCCCCATGTTGTGGTGACCCCAACCACTTATACATCACCAGGTGCCAGGGGCTTGGCCAAAGAAAAGGGGGGAAAAATGGCGGACAGCCTTGCTTGGCGACCCCCCTGAAATGGTCGTTCGACCCCAAATGGGGTCCCGACCCACAGGTTGAGAACCACTGGCCTAAAGCCTGGTGTTCTACCGGGATTAAGAAGTACTCCATTTTTGTTGCTGTCAATAGAAAACGTATCAAGTTTTATTTCAGTGCATTCTTTTCCCCCTTCACAAATATGAAAACAATAAACTTCTGTGAGGGCAAACATGATTAGAACAGAAAAAGAGAAGTTTTTGGTGTTTTTCTCAAGGAAGCTCCATTTTCTAGATATAACAGGCTCAGAGATGCTCTGTTAGTTGGTTCCCCCATTTAGTCAAGTGAAACTGAAACATTAAAGCACTAGAAAAGTCTCAGGGGAATCTGTGAGGTTTCACTCATTTGTCAGTCTTTGGTTCATAGAAAATCATGTTTCTTCTCATCCAGGCAGCCAGCACTTTTAAATGAGCAAAAGAAGCCCAGTCAGGAAAACGGAGAACTAATTTACCATACAAGTAACAGACACATCATAAAAAGGAATTATAAAACAAGATACACAAGTAGTCCTTGACTTATGACCACAATTAAGCCCAAAATTTCCATGAATCATGTTGTTGTTAAGCAAATCTGGCGTCCCCCATTGACCTTATTTGTCAGAAGCTCCCTAGGAAGGTTGCAAATGACAATCTCAGGACCGTGGGACCCTGCAACCTTTGTAAATACATGCTATTTGCCAAGTGCCTCAAGTTTTGATCATGTGACTATGGGGATGCTGCAATGGTCATAAGTGTCAGAACTGGTCATAAATCACTTTTTTTCAGTGCTGTTATAACTTTGAACTGTCACTAAGCAAATGATGACCCATATTTCCCTACAAAGTGATACTTGCCAATTTACCATACAGCTGTATATGAGGGTCAGTTCGAATCTGTAAATCCTAACACTAAGACAAGACTTTCATTTTCACTGTTCCATATGATTTTCCCATGAGAAAACCATGCTTGTAATCAAAGCTATACTTCATATATATTCTTATTTTTGTTTTATTTTTTGTGGTTGTGTTATTTATATGCCTTTACTAGCACTAAAGCTATAGCACTCAAGTAGGTGATTAATTTACCAACTGAGGGATTTTATACCTATCCATATATAACTATTCTGAGAACTTTTATTCTATACTTTTCAGCCAATGGAAAATTATTCCAGGAAACCAAAAAATTGTAGATTCTAGACTCCAAGCAGACTGTGTGAAGAACCACTGAATTCCAAGATACGTTATCAAACAGCTGAAAATGGTTCGCAGGAAAAATGGAATAGAAAATTGCAACATTTAAGAAATAATGGAACAATGGAAGAGATTACTAGAAGACTCAGAACATATACAGAGGCGATAAAATAAACTTCCGAAAACAAAGATCTAAATTCACAATTGGTATTAGTAAGCCAGTGATATCAAACACGCTGGATTGGGACAAGAAAAGTCCCATTATGGAGAATTAGGTTACAGTCCCAGGAAGAACTTTTGATATGGCACTTGAATGTCAGGGGAAAAAATGTCTGTGCTCTTGTATCAATGTTAGTATGAGGAGGTGAATATGCATAAATGTAACCTTCATGAGCTTGATTTAACTAAAGCAGAAATTAGTTTAGAAGAAAAGAATGTTGTCTTGAGAGAAATAGAAAAATGGAAAGTTCTTTAGTAGTGAGTCAAGAAAGCAAATCTGACTAAAATTTAAATAGATTGGCATATTTCTAACCAACCTAGCTAATCCATCTACAATATTATAACGGTTAAGAAAGTATATAAAATCATCCCTGTATATTTCTGCCCACATTTATTATCCATGTTTAAGAGTGGCAATATAGTAACTTTTGAATTTTGTCCTCCTCTTTTTAATAGAAATTTTATTAAAAATTACAATTACAAAGATAAAATCTAATATAAAATAAAAGAATAAAAATAGAAAGAGAAAGTGCAGAAAAAATAGAAAGAAAAATAGAAAACAAAGAAAAAATAATAAAGAAAAAAATTAATGACTTCTTCCTTCATCACAAATATAAACAATCTTACTAACTTATCAGTTTTCTTAAAATACAACAAATGATCTCTTCTTTTCTTATCCCTATAAACTAACAAACATTTATCTATAAACAAATCCTTAAAGCCTTCTTGATCAACAAAAGTCCATTAAGAATTACCCGAGATAACAACACATTTATTTTAACTTTGATGAAATATATCAACTTTTATGTTCTTTTTTTTTTACTTTTAACAATCTTGCTATTTAGTCATCTCAAACAATATCCTAGAACTTTATTTCTTTTCATGTTATCTTCATTCCCTCTCATACAATTCTTTAAAACTTTAACAAGATTCTTTTGTAAATCCAGTATAGCAAAATTATCCTGGTCACTCTCTTGGTTTGTTATTTATATATTCTTTTTAATTATTAAGACATCGCCTGGCTTCTTTTATTTGTCCAGTGAAGCAACTTTTTCTATATTATTTTTGTGGTTTGTCATGAGCCGTGATTCGAATGTAGCACTGCAGGCTAATTCTGCTGATTGTTGGCTGCCTGCAATTTGGCGGTTCAATTCCCACTGGCTAAAGGTTGACACAGCCTTCTACCTTTTTGGTAAAATGAGGATCCAGATGGTGGGGGCAATACACTGACTCTGTGAACCGCTTAGAGAGGGCTGTAAAGCACTGTGTATATAAGTCTAAGTGCTTATTGCTATTGATATTTTTAAAGCCACTTTCAATCTGAGGGTCCAATCTTACCATTTACAGGTAATCAACCACTGGGACCAAAACTGCCATCACTAAGCAATGTGATAATTAAGTGAGTCACACCTGGTTTTACAACCTTTCTTCTGTAGCAGTTAAATGCATTTAGCTTTCTCTTTTGATAGTTGCTTTGCTGGGACCCCCTTGGGAAGGTCACAAATGGTGATTACATGATCCTGGAATACTGGAACCGTCATAAATGTCTGCCAGTTGCCAAGTGATCAAATTCTGATCACAATACTACAGGGACATTGCAATAGTTGTAAGTACGAGGACTGATTGTAAGTCTTTTTGTTTTTTCCAGCACCATCGTAACTTTGAATGGTTGGTAAACAAATGGCCATAAGTTGAGGACTACCTGTACTGATACAGGCAAACACTCTTAAAATTAACTTTTGGGTGCATTTTTTAAACATATCCTTCAACATTAAAATATTTTGCTTCATTCTATATTAATTGTAAAGTTTGGTTCTTTCTGGTTCCCTCTAGTATCCAACCTTCGAAGTCACAATCTATCATTCTTAACGAGAATTCAAAACAAGTATTTTCCCATGGGAACGATTCTTATAATTAATTCCAAAATCTTATCGTAACTTTCCAAAATCAAAGTTCTAATCTTTCACTGTTTATTCCAAAATAATTTTTTAATTGCTTAGAATTTCTTTCACTAAGAATTAAAGGCAATTCACTTGGTTCTCTAAAATGTTTTGATTCAAAGGTTCCGAATAGCTGAAAAGCAGCTAACAAGCAATTTCTGAAAGTGATTTAAAAAAAAAAAAGAACGCAAACCCAGTGTCCTTTTAAAGCAAGATTCCCTTACCTTGCAGGGCTCTAAACCTGCCATAGACTGCAACTGTATGGAGCACCTATGGATTGTCTCAAATCCTCTCCTTATCCTGAGAAGAGTTATAAAGATCCAGTATTTAGTTGAGCCATATTCAGTTTGCAATTTCTTGTCTGGATGTTACCTTGAATTCTGTCCCTAATGATCCTATCTTTAAGCCGTTTTGCAGAATACAGCTCTCAATATTCTTCAGCTGACAGATATAAAGAGAGAAATGTACAAGGAGAAACATCGTAATGCATTGCATTTATCAAAACTCCACGACTAGTCCAAAAATTAGCAACATTGTTGTAGTATGAGCAGAAAATTTCATGGAAAATGACACTGAAGATTGTATTGAGTATGGCGATAATGTAATAGCATCACCAGAGATGGCAAGTATATTGTGGGTTATTTTTTAAATTGATTTGGTGGCTGACCATATATAGTCTCTGTTGTCTGAGACAAGATCCCAAGTACATTTGGCAAAGCAACAACTGGTGATGGACTGGAAAATGATTGTCATATATTTTACTTGATATTCCAGCTTATAGAACAGTTGGCTCAATAACAAGGGTAAATATAAATTTAGTGATGGTAATAAAATTGATTAATATAGTGCCACAAAGACAGCAAATCCTAAATACAATGGTCATGATGACAGCAAACGCTAAGTAAAATGAAACACAAGTGAGAAAATGGCTAAGGTGGGATTCAAATGCAAACAGTCCTGATAAATGTAGAAACAAGGAATGAGATCACTTAGATCAGATTCAAGGCCATTTGATTTATGTGGAAAGAAATAACTATAAGCATCTGCATGAAGTAGGATGAATTTATGAGGTGGGCATCCAGGCTGCAAAGAAGGGACTGAATGACAAATTGAAGATCTTGAATTGTGATGCACTTGCAAAAATTGCCAACTCTATTGGGCTGCATTTATGGGAAAGTCATGTGTACAGCTAGATTTTTTTTCACTCTGAAGAAGACCCATAGTCTAGCACTAGTCTCCCTCTTTTTAGTAGCACAGTTAAATGTGATGGTCTGGCAAATCATCAAAAGTGATAAGGAGAAGATCCCCTGAGGAAAGGTTAAGTGAGACCAGGATGTTGGACCTATTTTAAAAAGTAGCTGAGTAGCCACAAAATAGCAACTAACACAAAGGGGATATTTCTCACTAGATGTGCAAAGGATAATGGGGAAACAAAACAATCTGGATATAACTGCTGTTAGAAACACATGAGGTAAAAATTCAGAATACTGATTTTAGAATTAGACCTTAGTTTTGAGATGAAACAACTATTCTCAATCTGATATTGGATGGCCAGGGTGCTTGGTAAATCTGGAGGCACCACGTTGAAGAAAGATGAATTCGAATAAACAATCAAAACCCTTGTAGGAGTGGTTTAGCTATCCAAAGAGAATTAAATTATCCACAGTGATCCTTGCTAAGGACAGCAAGAGAAGAAACAAGGTGATCCAAAACTGTTAGTTTGGGAACGACTGAAAAAAGAGGTAACCTTCACATCCAAGAGTCAGTGTAGGATTTTGAAACTGGCACATCATCTGAACTGAAATATTTGTTTCCACTGAGCTCTGTAGGGAAGTGATCATGGCAAGATGATAAACCTATGTATGATGAGAAGTCCATCTGAGCTCCATATGCTTTCCTTCAAGAAAATGTGCATACAAGATTACAGCCTAAGGCTGTAGCAGTCAGCATATTTTCTTGATAGCATATCCCACTGAATTTAGTGGTACTTCCTTCAGAGATATAATCTTAGGCATACTCTATTAAGTTTGAGAGGGGGGAATAGAAGCAATGATTAGATTCACAGGAATCCGAACAGCTCTGATATTAAGACTGTTTAAAAATAAAGGTAGATCAGAAGTATCTACATAATGTCCGCCTGCTAAATCTTACCTGCTTCGGTGATCAGCCAGACATTTTCCTAAATAACTATTGTAATGTTACAGCTGAATTTAATGATTCCCACATTTCTGGAGTAAAGACATTCATGTATATTTTCCATATATACACTTGAGAAATCTACATTGTGTCCAAAATAATTGAGACACTTTTGATGGTTAAAGGATTACGAATGTAAAATTACATTCATAATATCCCAGGAGAGAATATTTTTACTTGGTGTCTTTAAAAGAAAGTAATGAGATTATACAACTGTGATATTACCTGTGAAAATAAACTTGCCTTGGAATTATGACCACGCTCCCTCCATGTGCCTGCAACATATCATCTGGAACAACTGGTTCAGGTGTCTGTTAGCCATTTTTCTTTAATGCTCTCAGCTGCTACAAAGGAGGCTGGGAGACTATAATTTCCCACTTCATTTCCTTTGATTTTTAATTATTATTGCCTCCCAGCATGAAATTTTGTTTCTTAGAAGTTACCAGTTATCACCAGACAAGGACCAGAAAAGTCCTTGTCTTGATTCTAATAACAATTTCAACCTCTGTTCTTCTGGGTGTTTGTGGAATTACTTCATTTATAAATATGCAAACACCCTGGCAGTTTAAGTGTGCCATAGGAATAGTGCAATGGCAAAAGTGATTGATTCTTCCCTTGTAATGAAAACATGCACAGAGCATTACATTATAATTCTCAAATATTGAATAATGCAACAATGTTTTATTAGAATATAGAAGTAGGCAACAATTGCTCCTGTAAATGCTTAGGCGTTTAAGTTACAGGACCATTCATACAAAGTAATACTCAAAACCAGGAGTAAAAATATTAAAATAAGAATCATTTAGTGATGGTTATAATCTTTAAGCACTATAAACAAGTATCCTTCAAGACCCAAACATAGCTGGTCATAATAATCCTAGTGGCTAACTTTTACTTCTTGGGTAAAATAGACAAGGAGCATGGGTTTTTTCAGAATTCCTTTTCCAAGAGCACTCCATTTTCAGAGGGGAAATCCAATTTCAGAAAATTTCTCCTGCTGCTTCCTAGAAAGTTCTGAGTAGTACTTTCCAGCATCAGAATTCTGACAAAGAAAGAATGAAACTCAAGACACAGGCATCATTCTTTTTCAGTGCTGATGAGGAAGTAGAGATGGGACATTCTCTTCAGCTCAAATTAACAAAGCATTAGATTCATCAGAGGCTCTGATACTAAAGTAATAATATTATACTTTTAGAGAAGTCATGGATCAAAAGAATCTACAGAATATTCACCTGATAAATTCTTATCTGCATATAAGTATGCCTTTATAAAAACAATAAAGCCTGACTTGAATTTGATGGCTTTCAAAAACAGTCTTACATTTCTGGGGTAATCACATTCATAGGAGAATGGAAGACAGAAGGATAAAATGCAGAAAGAAGCATATCAACAATTCAGTTAAAGAACTCTGCCATGCTCCCCAAAGATAAGTTGGATAATTATCTGAGAATGAGCGTGTTTTGGTTAAGAATGAGCTGATTTTGGTATATTGGTACTGAAAGTAATACTGATAGTTACCTGAAGGCCTCATGTTAACTCAAAAGCCTTCAGTGTCTTTTCTGAGAGTTTACCTTCCTTGATGTCAATACCAAAAATTGTCATAAGGGATATATTTATGCTAGGGATAGATTCTTAGAGATTTTCTAAGGAAAATGACAGTGGCATCTTTTCATTCTGATTTTTTGTTTCATAGTAAAATAAATGGAAAAGTCTGATTGCCATTGAAAATGAAACTAGGGTTAGGGTTAGTGCTAGGATTACAGTTATGTTTAGGTTCCATTGGAGTCAAGGGTTAAAACTAATGCTAGGGACAGATTCTTAGATGTTTTCTAAAGAAAGCAATGCTGACAGCTTTTCCTATTGCCCTAGAACAGTGGTGGCGAACCTATGGCACAGGTGACAGAGGCGGCACTCAGCGCCCTCTCCATGGGCACGCATGCTGTCGCCCCAGTCCTAGGCCTTCAGCTGGGTTTTATAAAACCTTTTCGCTTTAAGCCTCCACCGCTGAGTGCAAAAAACAAAAAAGTTCAATCAATCAGTCAATTTCAACTTCTTGTGGGAAAAAAAAAATCTTGCAAAGTTGGAATTGATTGATTTGAACGTTTTAGACCCATTCAGTCTGCCATTACCACCGCAGCCACGCCCAACCAATGAGCCACACCCACCTGGCACCTGACAATGCATAAGTGGGTTTTGGGTTGCAATTTGGGCACTCGGTCTCTAAAAGGTTCGCCATCACTGCCCTAGAAAGTTAAGCTAGGGTTGTGGATAGCGTTCAGGATCTGGTTAGGATTAAGTTTGGTGTCAGGACCAAAAAAATGACATATGTAGAGGTTATCAAAGAAAAGTGAGGCTATCAGTTTTTTGTTCACATTTATTTGCAAACAACACTAAGATACTGTTAGGATTAGTGTTTGGGTGAGATTTCCTTGGCATCAGGCCCTAAAATTGACATTAGGGCTAGATTTGTAGAGGTTTCCTAAGAAAAATGATACTGATAGTTTTTTGTTTGGACCTATATGTGGACAAAAGGAAACTGCATGGGGATATCCAATTACCAGGGAAAATTGACCTAGGGTTATGGATAGGGTTAGGATTAGAGTTAGGTTTCCATTGATAGGGGCAAATGCCGATGTCTGCATTAGATTCAAAGAGGTTCTCTAAAGAAACTGAAAGCTTTTCATTCAGACCTCTTGTGAACCACAGTAAAATGCCTGAGAAAAATTCAATTACCAGTGAAAATTAATGGGGGTTAGGGTTAGGTTTCTTTGGCGTTCAGGCCGAAAACTGACATCAATGTTAGATTCACAGAGTTTCTCTAATAAAAGTGAGGGTGACAGCTTTTTGTTTGGATTTATTTATGGACCACAGTGATATGCATGGAAAAATTCCATACCAAGGGAAAATTTATCAAGTGATAGGTATAGTGTTAAATTAGGTTTTCTTGATGTCAGGGCCTATAACTGATATTAGGGTTAGATTTGTAAAGGTTTCCTAAGGAAAGTGAGGCTGACACCTTTTTGTTCTGACCTATTTCTGCACAACATTAAACACGGTATCTGCATAAGATTCATAAAGGTTCTCTAGAGTCTAAAGAACCTCTAAGTGAAACAAGAATAAAAGCTTTTCATTTTGACTTCTT